TCCTTTACTCCTCTCTCAAACCATCGTTCCTCTCTGTCCAGGATGTGTCCAGTCAGCGACTGACCAGTCAGCCACTGACTGGTCAGTCGCTGACTGGTCAGAGGCTGACTGCTCAGTGGCTGACTGGTCAGAGGCTGACTGCTCAGTGGCTGACTGCTCAGAGGCTGACTGCTCAGTGGCTGACTGGTCAGTGGCTGACTGGTCAGCGACCTCAGTTTGTCCTGAAGTGAACGCCTCTCACCTGCAGAGCTGCAGCTTGTTGCATTAAGAAAGTTTTGCAGTCAGAGAGTTCAACAATAACAGAGTTTACATCTTTTGTTTCGTGTTCATCTTCGGTAATAAAGCTTTGTAAAATACACCAGAATGCAGGAAAAGGCATCTAATTTATAAAAAAATTATCTGGGGAGGACCCCCAGACCCCAATGCAGCCAGTTCTGTAATGTTCTCTATACAGAATGTAAGGATAAACAATAATAAATAAATGGACTTTACTTAAATAATTATTTGCATTTTGTGTTGTTTGGTCATCAGCCCTCTGATAGATTTTAAATTTGGCCTTTCAGAGTAAAAGTCGGGGCCCCTGGTGTAAAGGTTAGGGACCCCATTCCAGCAGTTCTCCTGTAGTTCCTGCTCTTTACCAACAGGGGCGCTGTGGTTCCACTCCGTCCCTGGTAACCAGGGGCAACAACTCCCGCGCAGCTCCTCTCATGCTGATTGGCTGCCACAGGAAGGTCACGCGCAGACAAATGTGGTTTGTTCATTTCAAAATAAAAGCTTTTAAATTCAACACAGCTTTTGTGTTGATGAATAAAAGTTGTGCTGTTATTCGTGATGTTTCGTTCGTCACGTTACAATAAAATATTTAAATAGAAGTGTTTAAAACCAGAAATCATGATGGAAACGAGTTTACTGAATTAATCCACACTTTAGCAAAGTTCTATGTAAATTTAGTTTAATATTTTGTGTTTTGTTGCAGCTTCATTGTTACGATTTTACATTTATTTATTTTAATGTTTTGCTGTTTTACACTTCGGACAGAAAAAATGAACTGATCAAAACGGTCTGAGGAGCCAGAAGACTTTTATTTTGAAGAACTCGGAGGTCTTCAGACTTCCTGTTATGTCTGGCTGTCGGGGAAGCGTGATCTGTCCCCCAACCCCCACCTCTGTGAGACAGACTGTCCGCATCACCCCGAGGACAGAGAGGAGACACGGAGGAGACAAAGAGGAGACACCAAGAGGAGACAACAGAGAGGACAACACAGAGGAGACA